AGGCAGAGTCTTGTTTAAACTCAAATATCTTCAATTAATTAGGAAACATAACAAGATAAATAATGAAAACCATGTGAAAGGTAAATGATTTTTTGTTTTATATCTAATATGTTTGAAAGTTTCTCTAATATGAAAGTCTCTTTTTAACTCACTTTGACTCTACAGTACTTATTCATGGGGAACAAGGGCCTCAGAGCACAATGGAATTTAGTGGACAAAGGGGTAGGTTTTTTTTAAACCAAGCTCAACAAATTGCTTAACAGGTTAGGGGGCTCAGGTGTATTTCACATATCTCGGGCATTTAAAAATACTTCACTGCATGTATGTCATTTAGATTGTTTATTGATTAAAATGCCACACCAAAGAATGTCCATCCAGAGCTCTGAGTGCCCTTATCATAAACTTAAAAGCACAATTAAAAAAAGAGATGAAATAAGTGAAAGCATGTGTTCCTATTGCCTCCTCTCTTTCCCATCTCTTCCCTCTTGGATTTGACATTAAAATAGTTGCATTGTACATAAAGTGTTTCCAAACAAATATGTTGCCGTAGACATGACAATGTCAGTTACAGCTGGCGCTTCACCCTTAATGTTAATAAATATCATTGCTTTGGTAGGGTCAAGTCAGTGTCCTAATCCAGCATGGAATTCACAGCAGTAAAACCACAGAAGCTAATGGAGCTATTTCTGTAAACAAGGGCTGCTAGATCAGCCCCCAAATATTCATGTAAAAATCAAGATATCCAATGTTAAAAAAAAAAAACACAAAAATTATTTATATATTTTGTACCGCCTGCTTTTTCTTGTAATTTAATACATCACCACAATTATTGTTTTCATATAAAAGTAGCTTAGGAGTTCAGTTCTCAAATATCACATTAACAGTTAAGTAATTGATTAACTGACTCTTCGCTATACAATTACTATATAAATAGCTTGCCATTTATAAGACTGTTAATCCTCTTATCCATTAGTAATCATTGTTTAATCCATATCTTGCAATATTCCTATGGGTCAGCTTCATTAATTCAATAAAATCAGGGTGAATTTCTTCTTTCTAAATACTCACTATCTAGTATGTTAATCAACCATAACCTACTTCCAAATGCTGGGTCAAATCGAATAGCCCCATTGACATAATTGGCACTACTCATATGAATAGAGAAAGCAAAATTAGCCTTTTGTGTGTCATACTTTCGTTGTTTTGAATCTATAGGTTTCTTTTCTTGTCATTTTGTTTAAAATTTGGTATCATGGGAATGTCAATTGTCCATTTAAAGAAAAGTCTATCATAGAAGCTGTGTAGTACAGTGAGTAGGGTACTGAACTGGGAGTTAGGAGAACTGGGCGCTATTCCCTGTTCTACTACTGTTCTGCCATGTGTCCTTGGGCATGTCACTTATGCACTGTTTCCTCTCCTACCCTTTGTCTGTCTTGCCTGTTTAGATTGTAAGCTATTCTGTGCAGGGCCCACCTCTTACCCATGTCTTAGGCATAGTGATTAACATCTCTGTTGCGGCCTCTAGATGCTGTTGTAATACACATAATCAATCATAACGCATGTCAAATTTCCTCCACCAAGGGAGTTGCCATTTTTGTGAAAAACATGCTCCAACCTATACAAAACTACTTTACCTCAAGTTAAACATAACCAAAGTTTTAGGCTTGTGTGTTGGATCATACAGAATATTTTAATTCTGTGAACGAACTTGAATGTTAAAAGGGAAATGGCTCTGTAGTAGTAAAGAGTTTTACCGCACCTCCAGATATGTTCACGCTCAAAGGGGTACAGAAGCTGTTGTTCACACCTCCTTCACAGGAATGGACTTACCATATGGACCTGACCTTGCAGTCCTTACTCAGGCCAAACTCCCATTGAAGAACTGAGTGGTCAGACCACACATCTCATTCCAAGGACTAAGTCATTTAAATATTTAATATATTTAAATTAACAAGCAAATAGGAAGTTGCAGACTTGACAGTCTGTTGCCCAGTTCTGCATTCTCTGCACACACAAAAGTTTGCTTGACTTCAAGTTCAATGGGAGCTTGGGGCAGAGAAGGCGGCAAGCCCCTGATCGTTTAGGGCAGGACGTGGCTCTATTCTCCCACCTCAGACACAATTCACTGCCGTTGCCATAACTGTGAGTTTAAATACGTGTGAAGTCAGTGAGAGTAACTCTTCTTTTGAAGGGGGAAGATCAGGCCCAGGGAATGTAACCCACTATTTCAATGTCTGACCAAATAGGAGACTTCAACGCTGAACTCTACTCTCGTTCTCTTTCACTAACAATTTTAAGTGTTGTTTAATTTTAAAAGAATGATTGTCAAAAAAAGGACTCCTTTTGAAGCGTTTTTGACAATCTCCTGCTTTGTTACACATTCATCTAGTGAGCTGCAGCCCCCATGTCCTACTGCACCTCATCCGACCTGGCCTCCTGCTGGGAAGTTCCGCGAAAACAACTGCTCGCCCCTGAGCCCATCTGTAGTTATGGAGATATTGAAACAATGGCAGACATTTCTTACAACTGTTTAGAAAATGCAGTGGTAATTACATAGGCTTATTTAGTAAGGGCTAAATGACCCCTCCTACAAAGGAGAACGGCACTGAGGAGGGGGACTTGCCAGGGCTTTAAGAAGTGCTGCTGTACCACCTGGAGTGTTCTCCTGCTGGTATATTGTGATGCATTGTGGTGGAGGGAGGGGTCATGACCCTGCCTTTCTTTTATCCAGACACACCCCTCTGGTGCTTTGAGAACTGTAGGCATCCCCCCCACCCCTGCCCCTCTACACTCCATTACCTGCAGGTAAATTACTGCTGCTTGGGGGGGGGGGAGGAGAAGGGGGAAGGGGAGTTATTGGAAGGGAGGAACTCCCCTTCAGGGCTTTCTCACAGACAGCTGTAATCTGGCCCTCAATATCTAGCTAAGATTTTGTAACTAACCTGCAGTGATGCCAACTCTCATGATTTTGTCATGAGTCTCATGATAATTGTTGTTTTCCTTAAAGTCCCAGTTCCTAGAGTCAAGTGGATATGTGATGATTTCAGCCTTCGTTCTTAACTTATTTTTTCTTTTCTAGCCCTTGTGGCTGTGGAGGAAGCTTCAAAATATGACCCCAGTGCATCCTAACGGCTTAAAAAGCAGAAGGCAAATAGAAAGCTATTATTTTTACATAATCTAATGATTTTAAAGCCAATCTCATGATTTTTGGTGAGCCTGACACGATTTTTGAACATTTGGGGTTGGCAATACTGACTAGTCACTGCAAGTTTTGCTTTAAGGTGTTTTTTTAAAAGATATTTTAATGCAATGTGTTGCCATTACATTTTCAGTGTTCTTAAGCTTGCTTCCACTTTTAAGACTCAAGTAGACGAATTTTTAATGTTTTACAAATGATAAAAAATTCACATCAGAATTAAGCATACTTATTAAACACACCGGGGGCCTCTGAAAAAATGTTATTCAGTTTAATAGTTTTGAATTTACATTGTATATGTACAAGAGCATTTCTTTCAACCCACAGCTTAACAAAAAACAAAAAACCCACACTGCTGTTAGAAGAGCAGAGAAACTTTTGAAATACTCTGTTGTCTGAAATAAAAGCAAGGCACTCTCCTCTAACAGCTGATATATTCCTGAATTCAGCCTGCAAAAAGGCATGTTCACACTGAGAGAGCTCGAACAAAAGTAGTAGGCTAAACTTCTTTAATTCTTTCTTTTGCTATCATGATCCGTCATTGATCATACTGCACAAATAAATTTTGTGAATTTAAATAAATGTGAAGGATATTCCACAGATTACATGATGTTGGAGAGTATCACAGTAAAGAATGTCTATGGAAAACTGAAGCACATTGGCGACATGAAGTCTAACATAGGGCTCTGGACCGGCTACCATCAAAAACATGCTTCCTAGTAAACGTATCTTGTTCCTAGAAAAACGATGCTGATTTGTGTGAAAATACTTTTTGAGGGCCCAGTCCCATGAAGTGCTGAAAGTCCTCAGCTTGGAACTAAGGGTGCTCAGCAGCTTTCACGATTTGTCCTGAAATAAAGATGATTTCTCAAGGGGCCTTGGCCCAGATCCTCAACGGTGTTTAGGCATCTTGTTTTACACAAAGGGACAGAAGTAAACACACTTTTGGATGTCTAGTGTGTGTGTGCGCGCGTTTGTGTATACAAATTATATACAAAATTTCAAATTCAGTCAAAATGGATTTGTCTTGCAGATCAGGCATCTGACACCAACCTACAAGAAATGTTAGCTTCTCTGATATTTAATTATACTATTATGTTTGCACATAAGCTTAAAAGTCAATACTAAAAGCAAAAGGCTTCCAAATATTATCTTCAGGTAAACTGGAAATATTGACTATAGTGATTAGAAGTCTGTTTTCCTATTGACACTACTAGAAATCTTGATATAAGAATAATTTTCATAAAAGCACATCCAAACATAATAAGTGATCAAATACCAGATGACTACTTGAAAACAATACAATGATTTGATATCTGGGTTATCTGTTGCAGCAATTAGGCAATTCATTTGGCATCTGTTTGATAGTATAATTTAATTTCCATATAAACAGCATAGTTTAAAAAAAAAGACAAAAAGCTAAAATGTTTAAAGCTAACAAAAGATACAGTGACATCAGGTTGACATTCAAAAAAAATTTCTTAGCAAAATGATCAACAAAATTTTGACTTAATACAGTGCATATAACGTTTTTTTAGAACTAAAAAATTTAAATATTATTTGAATTTAGCAAAACATGAGCAAGATTTTAATATCAAAGTGCTAAACAGTACTGCCTTAAAAGTCACTGCAAATAAACTGTAAAATAACTTTGCTTGTGAAGTGACAGATATTTTATATACAAATGGTTAATAAAAAGACACACACACACATATGTATATACGTATATATATATATATATATATATATATATGTATATATACACACACACATATTTATATGTATATATACACACACACACACATATATATAGTTCTCTAACTGGTGTATCTGAGTCAGTGTGAACACCCCATTTAGTTACTTTGTGTAACACGGCTCCCATGAGCTGGCAGTCATTGCAATAAATACAGGCAAAGCCATTACAATATACCATGCATACAAACGTTTATACAAATAAAGACACTATGCAACAAATTATTTCATATTAATATGGCATCAACAGTATAAACATACAAAAAAGGAGTACGAACACGGAATGTTTAAACGCAGCCCACTATAGCCTTCCTAACTCTTACATTCATACTATTTTACAAGACTTGCTTGTTCTTCAAAACCGTCTTGTGTCTGTTTACTAACTTGTTACTAGATTAAATCTAAAACTTAACGATCCCTGATGCTGACCCTGTGCGTTCCAATCACTACTTACTTTTACTTCCTTATCTAAGGAACAAGTGCTCAACTGAATCACAAATTGTCCCTGTGTCTTCCACATACATTTGTCAGTAAGTCACACTACATGGATTCAAGTTTGGGAAACTTTGTCGTGTAAGTTAGTGCATGTAATCTTCTCTCTTGATTTCTTCAATTTGATTTTCATATTAAAATAAATTAGTTAATAAACAAGACTTAGTAAGACAGCACTTTAAAAAATTGCACTTGAACATGGGAGCTAACAGCCATTGTCATTTTGCTATATCTGATTTATACGAAATATTCAGTTGAATGTACTTTGTTAAAAAAAGTGAACTTTTGTTTAGTTTGTGCCAATATGTGTGCCCTTGATACAGGAAGTATGCTAAAGGTATCATCACAAAACACATACTACCCTGGCAAACAACTATTTGTTGTTCTTGTTTTCAAACACAGCTTCTACATTTGTATTCCCCATATATGACGAGGTGTTAAACACAATAGATTTAAAACAGTCTTGTTAACCTTTTACTGCTGGGATAGCATTGTCCAAAAGTGCCTTATTAGCAATTTGTAAAAAAACCCTAATCACACAAAAAATAAACAAAAACAAGAGCACAACCCCCAAATAGTAAGCCATTAAATTTTAGGCCTTAGTTTGCAAGGAAAAAGCGCCTGAAAAGTCCTTATTTTAGGGCTGGAGTTGCTTTTCTGTTATGCGAGGGCAGAAATGTTAGCAGTAAGTCACAATCCATTTGCCTGCTCTGGTGGGCATTAGCCTTTCATGAGGGTAATTTGAGACTCAGAAAGGTAGGGTATCCAGAAACAACTTGTCAATAATGGAAGGGGGTGGCACCAAATCTTCCAGTTTCAGGTAAAAGATGCGCTGCAGTCCCAGTGTGCAGAGAGAACGCAAGTCAGCAAGAACACCTAGTACTTTAGGCTCTGCAGACTCAAGTGGCTGTCCTTTGTTTTGGCAGCTGAAAGCTAAGTGATCTTTTAAGCTGCTAGTGATCTTGTTGCATAGCTCTTCCACTTTCTTTGGTTCTTTTAATCCATGTCGTTCTGCAAAAGGATGGCAAGAAAACAGCCAAATCAGTGTCATTATGAGAATAAACCTGCTCTTTACTCTTGGGTAATCAACTTATAACTAGGTAATACTGTAACAGACAAAATGAAGACCTTTTAAAGTTGTTAATAATAATAATAATATATTAGAATGGTGATGCCATATCATATTGACTGACCTTGTTTCATGTAATAAGAAAATATAATAATTGCCCTTTCTTGTTAGCAGCCAAAATATTTAATGGTGGCTTTCAATAATAATTTAAATTATAATTAATATAAGAAACCTGAGCTATCTACATATTAACCTACATTTTTAATTATATAAGGCATAATTTAATTGGACAATTTTATGGCAAAATGATCACAGGAGGTGTTTTGGAGATTTCCTTGCCTCCCTACCAGTTGTGAATGCTCAATAACTATGGCAACCATTATTTATTCAGTGAATTCAAGTGGAGATCAATATCCACTGCCAGCTCCATCAGCACTAGGCCTGGAATTCCACTAGGAATTTACAGACACTCTTGCAAGAAACCAAAGGCACCTCGACCATTCTTTTTTATTTTGATAATCTACAGCTTTTATTTATCACTAAAAAGTCTGAGATAAAAGAACTCTGGAAGTCAACTATTTCCACCTTCGAGCAAGCAACGCATAAAGTAAAAGAGCTACTGTGTTACCCATCATAAAAAACTTCTGAAATTCCTAAAACCAGCAATGGCTTCTAGCTAAGGTGTTTCCCCCACCCCCCCTTTATGTTCTGTTAAAATGCTGCAGTGAAGTTACACATCCTCAGTTCATTAAGCTTGAGGAGGAAGCTTCATATTTGTGATTCATTAAAAACAGTCTCTTAGCAGACATATATGAAAAGAAAGCTTTGCATCATTGTTTACCGTCAATACTTACTGGATGAATTAATGTAACATGTTTCTGAACAATAATCTCAAATAACTGTTGCATTTTAATTTGTCTTTGAATTTCAAATGTGCAGAAACATAAGAATTTGCTTCACAAGCAACATTATTATCCTTCTTGTTTTAAATACAATAATAATTGCCAGGGAGGTGCAAGAAAAAACAGATTAAATTAACTAGCAAACATAACGTACTGTAGATAGTTAGGCCTGCAACCAATCAAGCAAATATGGTGGGAGAATGGTGGGAGGGGAAGAAGTGGGGAGTTGTGAAAGATTTATGCTCAATGCACTCCCAATTATCTGTAGCCCTCCCCCCCCATCCCCATCCTTATGCCAAGATTATGCTCCATTCTCCCAATCTCTCTTCCCCTCTTTTCCATTGTTCATGGGAAGGAAGGATCTGGCAGGAGGCACTTTCTTCTGGTTATCTCCCAAAAAAAGGGGAACCAATGCAGGGAGCACATTCTTCTTTGCCCTCAAAACTAGGAAGAATGAAAGTGTGGGGGCTCTGTTGGGCTCCTCACTCTTCTCAGGCACGTATGTATATGTATATGTGTAGTGGGGGACTGTGCTCCTGAATTTCTCTCTGTAGTGCAGGGGTAGGCAACCTATGGCACGTGATTTTCAGTGGCACTCACACTACCTGAGTGCCCCGGTCCAGGGGGTTCTGCATTTTAATTTAATTTTAAATGAAGCTTCTTAAACATTTTAAAAACCTTATTTACTTTATATACAACCACAGTTTAGTTATATATTATAGACTTATAGAAAGAGACCTTCTAAAAACGTTAAAATGTATTACTGGCACGCGAAACCTTAAATCAGAGTGAATAAATGAAGACTCGGCACACCACTTCTGAAAGGTTGCTGACCCCTGCTGTAGTGACTGCTCGGGATATATGTTTTTTGATAAACTAATTAAAATGGAGGTGACTGCAATAAAAATAGACAGAAATTTATCCTCTCGTTTTTACCAGTTTGACACTTGTGTAACTCCATTGACTTCAATGGAACTAACTCCTGAGTTATACTGGTGTGAGATCAGAATCAGGCCCCAGATGTGTAAACCTTTGGCCCGAAGCTAATATATTCTACCGTTTGCCATCAATCTGGCTTGCTATGTAACAAGACATGAAAAATACTCATCTAGGTAGTAACAGCTGCTCAAACATCTTCACCTTCAAGGAATTTCAAAACCTAGATATTTGAAGTGACTTGTTTACATTCAAACACAAGAGTCACTGAACATTTAATAAATTTCCAGTACATTGTGTATAATGTAATTATGTGAGCCTGACTGTACAGGACACCGAGAGTAAATACTTAGATGGATGCTGCCATTTAAAGAACACCGTGACTAAATATTTTCTAAAAATTGAAAAATCTGTGGGGATTTTTTGGCCCAAGTCTTCTGGGGAATTCTGTGAAACATTAAATTAATCTCTAAATCTTTGAAGTGCTCCCACCTTTTAATCTGCGTTAAGGTTGTATTTTAGCAATGTTAGTGAAGACATATTTATAGGTCCAGAGAGCTGATATACTTAAACAGATCCACAGGCTGACTTTAAAAATAAATAACTATGTAGTATAGTGGAGATGCTGTAAACCTATCCCATTACTTTGTGCATTGCTGCAGAGTTTGGAAAATCAACTACTGGACTTGAGCACATAGGGCCAGATCCTCAAAGATATTTAGGCCCCAACATCTCTTTGAAGATCTAGGCCACAGGCAATTTATTTCCCAAATCTCTAAATCTTTGAATCTAAATTAGGACCAAACCCTCAGTTTTGGTCTTCAGTGTACTTGTTACAGTGACACAATTTAACATGTTTCATTAACAATGTGTTTCTTGTTAGCAGTGATATGAAATGTCTAAACATTATCTTAAAAGTGTTACTGGCCTAAATAGAAAAACCAAGGAAATTTCAGAATTAAGGCATACTCCATCCTTAATTTACTCTGTTGTGCCTCAGTATCAAGACAATCTCTGAAGAACAGGTAGGATTTATTACACTTCAATATGGGTGAAATCCATGGGCAAAACTCCTATTGATTTCAGTGGAGCCAGGATTTCATCCTATCTGTACGGGTGAATCTACAGGTGACACGACGGAGCAAGTATGAAGGACATTTTCTATCCAAACAATGAGCTTTGTTATGTTTATCGCTTAAAAAAAAAAAGATTCGGCCTTAAAATACATGCCAGCATCATTTTGCTAAAAAAGCTGTATGTAAATAAATAAATAAATAAATAAATAAATAAAATTAAATAAAGGGCCAGATTATTTTCTTCAGCATAAAAAGCCATGGGATGAAACTATCCACTTGAAAATCTCCACAAGGAATTCTTCATGAAAATCAATTCACACTGTCCCACTGGAGGGGAGCTTTTTGCTCCCCACTCACCCAAAAGCCACCTCTGAACCTGGTGAGTCGATGGGAAGCCAAGGCCAGACACGCGGAGGCCTGTTCCCTGGTAATGGCATTGCCCCATCTGCTCATCCACCCCATTCTTGGCAGCATGCTTCCAGTTAATTTCTTGAGAAGGTATCTATTTAATAAACCTTCGCTGTTTATTATTCACTGTTCCATTTAGGCAGTGTGTGTAGTAAGGGTATTCTTTGATCTATTCATTTATCACACCTCTGAAGTCACTGGAAAGTACTTTTCTGACAGCATTCAAGTGACTCTAAGTAGAAGGAGACAAATCTTGCTTGTTTTACCCATGTACGTCCTCCCATTGGGTCAGATTAAGACCTGGAGCCCACTATGCTGCCATTGACTCCAATGGGAGCAGGAGCAGGCCTTTGGTGTAAGCAGGTGCAACTACACTGAAGTCAATGGAGTTGTAACCGTTGCCGTTGGATCTCAATTAGGCCTGTTCTCTTCAATGGCAGTACGCATGTGAATAACAAGGGCAGGATTTGCCCTGAGAAGGACAGCTAGTCAAAAAGAGGTTTTCACTAAATAACGGAGGAGGTGCACAAACACTATTGTAGGCACACCTCCTTATAGTAGCAGTGAAACAGGTGCAGGGCAGGTGAAAAGTAGGATTTTTCTGCCTTGTGAATCACTCCCTGGTTAATTGGCCTCTCACCCACTTTTGCAACAAAAATGGTATCTCATGGTAGGGATGCCCTCCATAAACCTGAAGAAAATGACTCATCATCAGGAGTCTTTCAGAAACTCGGCATCTAGACCTCTGCAAAGTCAGCAGTTAATCCTGAGAAATTTGAACACAGTTTTTCACACCCTTCTTCACCCCAGGTGATGTCAATGTGATTCCTGGCTATAAATCTGCTGAAGGTCACACTTCTGCAGGAAGAAAATGAAAGACCAGAGCAAAGTTCCAGGCTTAGCTTGCCTACCCTCCCTAACTCTGGACAGTGGTGGAGTATAGCAGGATTGGACCAATCCATTGACGCAGGCCTACCTCTCTAGAAAACACCACCCCCTGCAAATATACAAGGGATTTTTAGGCTCTATATTTAAGTCAATCTGGGTCTCGTTTAATAAATTCCTATCCACCAGAGATGTATTAATATCCTGGATGCAACAGTCTATGTCCCAGATTCAAAAAGGGCCTCCTACCCAATTATATTGAAAATTGGGGTCTCTCCCAGTATCAGTATAATTATCTGATTTCCTCTTCCCTTTTTACAAGCCCTTCCTCTTCCAAAATTGAAAGAAATTCCGGGCTTCACTGCCTCTGTGCTTTCCATGTTGGCACTGTTCTACTTAAGCATCTTCTGGTTCTTTAGACCTTTGGATCCCACATTTCAAGATCTCTAGCGTAAGTGATCCAAAAAAACAGAACAGCATAGAATTCATTTCTTGCTCTCATGGGGATGTGGGAAGAACGTCTTGCACTGTTTTCTAATTACTCTCTTCTGGCTGATGCTCAAAGCAGTGTTGACGTGCTCTGGAGGAAGATGTGTCTAGCCCTGCCTAACTAACTGAAGGAAGTAAAAAGGAGAACAGAGACAGAGAGAGGAAGATCCTAAAGGAGCACCTTAAATAAAAAAGGCCTACTATGGTATTGTGAAGTTTTGAGTTAACTGTTTGCAACCCACCTTCATCAAACCAGATGTCAGTTCTTCTAATCTGGGTGAAGGCTAATACTATAACCATATAACCTGTCATAAGGGACCTATTGAGTCTGCAGCACACTGTCTTATATTCTGCATCAAGGCCCGGAACATCAGATAAACAGAAAAAAACACATTTTACATTAATAACATAATGTGCCTATTTAATTCATTAAAAACTTCTCTCTTTTTAGTCTTTTTCTGTATATTTCATGCTGCTGCATATCTTTCAATTTATCTCTGTACTTAGTATTGACAATACATTTACAACACCCTTCAAATTGTGTGTAGTCCCAGTGTGACATTACACAAATTATTTAATGAGTCAATTTACGTATTTGTAAATAATTTGCCTATAACCATAAGTTCCATCTTGTCAATATGCTTTCACCCACACTGGGGGGGGGGGAGGGAAATGGCGGGGGAGAAACTGGGGGAAGGGGGTAGGACATGGAGCCGCACAAAAGTTGTCAGCTGAGAGTGGGTTGGCTGGGATAGGCAGAAGGATGGCTGAGGGTGCTTGCACAGGTACTGGAGAGTGTCTAGAGATACTGGGTAGATGGATGCATGTCTGGAAGGTGTTGGGGTGGTTGGGGTAGGTCAGGTACTGTAGGGTGTCTGGGAGTGCTGGGATGGGTGGGTGGCTGGATGTCTGGAGGGTAACTGGGTATTGACTGTCTTTTGGGGGTATCTGGGGAGGTAGCCTGAAGCTAGGTGAGGGTACCTAAATACTATGTTGAGGTTTCTGAGGACAGCACTGGGGTCCCCTCCCCTTTTATGCATGCTGCTGGCTGCTCCTCCCCCAAATCCAGCAGGGGAGGAGCAGAGAGGCTGCCTGCAGCGCAGGAGCTTAAGCGTTCCCCAGTGGCTGAGAGGAGCAGCTTCAGTCCATTCGTTCAGTTCCACTGAATGCATGATCTCTCAGCTGGGCTACAGGAATGTGTGATGCTGCTTCAGTGCAGTGAGGCCAGGGGGAGCAGCTGCAGGATTTGACAGCCTGGTGTGAAGTTGCTGCTGGTATATTTCTGGGGAAAGTTGGGGTGAGAGAGTTTTCTGGCTTTGGGAGAGTGAAATGGTCCAGGTTAATTTTACTGTGGGGACGGCAGGGTTTAGCAGCACAGAAGAGTAAAACCAGATGGTCTGGGCTGGGCAGCTGAGAAAGGAGAATGGCATTCAATAGGATTTGAGGCTGGGGGAGGGACTTGACCACTGGGAGCACAGGGAGTGGGGATGGGGAGGGAGAAGGAAAACCTCTTTTAGCCCCAGTACTGGCTTTTACTGTCCTCTTTCCTTGTCCCTCCACAGGAGAGAGGAGTTAGTGCTCTCAAACACCCCCTAACTACTTCCCTTCCTCTCTCCTGCTCCCAGCACCCTACTGACTACCATACTACTTCCCCCCACCCTCTCCTGAGAGCACTGGCCTTTGTTTGATTCATGAAGAACACTCCTGAGGTCAGGCAGAACAAGCAGAGCACCACTCTCAGAAGCCCTTCTGTTTACTTAGATACACGGTGCAGGGACTGTTTCTGAGGTTGGTGCTGCCTGAGACCAGTATGTGCAGTGGCATACTCAGGCTATAGGGGAAAGCCAGGAAATGATTCTCCATGAACAAATCCCACAACGAGGAGTATTCAACCAGAGCATTCTCCAGATTATAACCATTTCCCCATTATGCTATCACTGAGAAATGATAAGAATAAAGATAAACAACACTGTTTATGCAGCTCAAACAGTATTTTGTGCTGTTCCTTCTACTGCAATCACCTCTCTCTCAGGGCTTTCTATACCACTCATCATTTTATGGTAAATCCTTAAAAAACATATTAATGGATATGTGCCAACATCATAAGACAAAGGAATAAACAAAAAATTATATCAATTTCAAGCTCCATTATAAATATAGGGGAAAAGAATATCAATCTTTGACAAATACAGACACAGAACATTGGTAGGGAGAGAAATGTTATTTCTTCATATTTAGGGGTAATGATTACTTTCATTTGTCTGGAGGTTTTGAGAAGACTAACAAAACACAGCAAATATCTCTATACCGAAAGGGCTTTTATCACTGGAAAATGCAAGAAACATGGGAATATATTAATTGAAAGTTATTCTCATTAAACATTTTATGTGCATCCAACTCGCCATAAACAATCTTTACTTGTTTATGCCAGGGCAACTGAACAGGGTGTGAATGAGCAAGCATCATGATGCTAAAACAGTGTTTGGGTACATGAGGAAGAACATATCACATGTTCACAGAAGTAGTTTGCATGAGGTTTTATTCCTTTAAGTAAATCCCTGAAATCTCCAGGAAAATAATTAGGAACAGGTCTCATAGTTAGAGAAAAGGATGAAAAAAAAGTCAAGGACATTTTCTTCTTGCTGTAACAATTCACTCATTTTGGGAGTGGTTCTTACATGAGTGTAAAGCAAAGTGACCCTACTGAGTTATTCTGCATGTACACATGGTGTAAATGAGATCAGAATCTGGCACTTATTGTACCTCTCTTAATCATGGGGACATTAGTACAAATTGATTTTAAAAATAGGAAAATACTTTTCATAAGAAACCAGTATTGAAGCTAAAACTAGTATGTATTAAATCATCCCCAACTGCAAGAGGGAAAAGTACCCTAGAAACTCTGAAGATGAAATCCTGGTACCATTGAAGACAATGGGAATTTTGCCCTTGACTTCAGTGTAGCCAGGATTTCACCCCAGGTCTCCAGAGAATCATCTCATCTAGGGTGAAAGAATGATGCCACTTGCAGGGGACTGGGAGTAGAACTTACAACTTTGTAGATGCCCTGAGATCTGTGAGGAAATCCATTTCCATTTCTGTGGATCTCAGGGCATCTTTGTAAAGATTCAGCCCCTCTCCACCTTGGAGCCATGGTATAACAAAGCACTGTATCACCACTGAAGACCCAGCTGCATCTGTACATTATCATCCTCTCTGAGAGGGGTTAAACAGAAAGACAGGAAGTGAATGCCGCTCTGAGTAACACTAACTCCTGCTGTATTTCTACAAGATTGTCAGGGACATCTGCCCCCAGCTCTCTCCACTTCAGCCAGCTATGCCCTCCAAATCACAAAGCCTCAGGTCCGCAACGTTTAAATGGAAGGGCTTCTGCTGTCTCAGAAAGAGAGAAATTATGCTTTACAAGTTACAATGCCCCCATTCTGTGCTTACTAGAGAGATGTGGTAGGCATTTGTACTAGTTTCATCCCCTTTACCCCATGCGGCAGAGGGGCTGAAATGGTCTTATGTATACACAAATAATTCACTAACAGTATGCAGAAAAATTCCCATTGCATCCCCCGCCCCCCGTGCTATTTGGTTTGAGATGTATTTCACCTTTTTAGAGAATGTTCCAAGAAAACATAAAACCCTGGAGAAAGAGGGAGTCATTCAGATTCCATTTTAATAGGTGTTTCTGGGAGTGAGTGAGTGAGTGTACACTATTGCCAGCCAGACTTTCAATATCGCCATTACAAATGTTCAAAAATCAGGCTCACCTTATCTGGAATATAACAAAATCAACTGAAAGCACTCAGATCTATGCTAACAATACAGTGCTAGTATTTGAAGATTGCCGTTACCAAAAGAGCACTTACCTGTAATCATACTTAGAGCTGATAAACATGCTAAGGCTGGGATATCAAGGTTAAGGCTCTGTAAATTTAATGAAAAGTCTTTAATTGACTCGAGCCACTCCCCAAATCCACGAAGGCACTGAAGTCTATGAAGCACAAGTCCATTGCAGAATACAAACTTATCTTCAGCAGTATCGGATCTTGAAAAAAAAAATTAAAATCATAAACACACATAATTTTACAAAAAGATGTACACAATACTGAAATGTGTATCATTTAATATCTCACACATATTATTACGGGGCATATGTGGGCATTCATGTTTGACAATATGCTTCTTCCTGGGGGCAAAACTACAACAAACAAGCTTCTATGATTGCTTACTTTGTAGAGTTATAAGCCTGAGGTTAACTGTAGCATGTGCTGTAGACTGTCTAATTAGTTAAGATTTTTGGTCCTGCCAAAGGCACAAGCAGCAGAGACATTTTACATTAAATACTGTATGTTTGAACCTAAGGAAGACAAAGTGTGTATGCTTTGAAATACAATAATAATATGACTTGGAGAAAGCAGAGATTATTTTCATGTTGTAACCCTTAGTGTTTCCCCCCTTCCATTTCTCAAGTTTCAAAAACTGATGAAGACAAAACAATAGAAAATATATAAACAAATGTACACAAACACACAGAACATACTGTAATACTCAAGGCAGAAAATCTCTTATGTGAAAAATCTACAGTATGTGTCAGACTACAACTAAACACTGAAAAGAATCCCTGTTAAAAAACAAACAAACAAACAAACAAACATAGTTCATCTTCACCCTAAGGAAACAGGGGCATAACTCAAAACTCCATCCTGGGATTTCCCTGTAACTATCTTAGGTACAATGTCTTAACTAGTGCCAGGCTGACGAATGGCACTTCACTCTATGAAATGACTTGGTATTAGGAAGAAAAACAATCTGAACAGGATTTTGAAGCCCCTTTATCCTCTTCCAAAACAGAATTTCAAGACATCTGTGTGAAAGTAAAAAAACCCCAAACCATTGCATTACAAATGCTCTTCTACAGGTCATATAGGCAAGTACAAAACAGCCTCACTCGAAAGTAAATAAGGACAAATTATGATTAAAAGGAGAAAAGAAAATTTGGTAAATCCAATAAATGGAAGCACGTTAGTGAGAATAATATTATTCCATTTTTGTACATTATTTTCTTGTTTTTCCTCATTTGTATCACAAATTGAACGCAGTATTTTGTGTCTTTTGTTGCTGTTTGTTTTTGGCTGTTTTCACAAATGACAAAAGTAAAGCTATCGCTCTACTTATCCTTTAAAAAAAAAAGTTGAAATTCACAGTTTTTCACATCAATTTAATATGGGATTATTTTCAATCACAAGTAATTACCTGATGGAGAGTCTTAGTACAAACAGCTCCAAAAAAGCTGATTCTATGAGTAACGTCTGATCTTCCTTTGGGAGATCAGTAAATCCTGGAATTTTTTCCGCCCAGCCCCTGGATATGTCAATGGAGGCAGTCAGAAGATTATAGAACTGTTGTACATGTTCTGCATCTGTGCCTGCAGCAGCCTGGTCAGTGGAACAGTACTAAAATGAAAGCCACAGAAAGTAATATTATGCGTTTTTAAAGAATGCCACAATACATACAATGCTGTCTGCTCAACAGTGTTTTTCCAGTGAGTCCCTCAACAGCAAAGACAGTAGGTTATTTTATCCAATGGATAATAAGCAGTTAAATATGAATGTAATACCTATATATGTGTGTGTGTGTGTGTCTGTGCGCGTGAGGGTGTGTGTGTGTTTTACTTTTAATATAGGTAGCTCTTGTACATATGGGTTTTACTTTTAATATAGGTAGCTCGAATATCTGTAACTATATGCATTTATAGTAGGACTGTCAATTAATCGCAGTTAACTCATGCGATTAACTCAAAAAAATTAATCATGATAAAAAATAATCGTGATTAATCGCACTGTTAAAATAATCATGTAGGTTTTTTTGTAACATAACTGCACTCAAAACCAAACCAATGTAAAACTTCAGAGCCTACAAGTCCACTTCTTGTTCAGCCAATCGTTATGAGAAACAAGTTTGTTTACATTTACAGGAGATAATGCTGCCCACTTCTTAATTACAATGTCACCTGAAAGTGAGAACAGGTGTTCGCATGGCACTGTTGTAGCTGGCGTCGCAAGATATTTACATGCCAGATGTGCTAAAGATTCATATGCTTCTTCATGCTTCAGCCATTGTTCCAGAGGAAAGACTTCCATGTTGATGATGCTTGTTAAAAGAATAATGCATTAATTAAATTTGTGACTGAACTTCTAGGGGGAGAATTGTATGTCCCCTGCTGTTTTACCTGCATTCTGCCTTATATTTCATGTTATAGCAGTCTCGGATGATGACCTAGCACATGTTGTTCATTTTAAGAACACTTTCACTGCAAATTTGTCAAAATGCAAAGATACCAATGTGAAATTTTTAAGATAGCTACAGCACTCGACCAAAGAGTTAAGAATCTGAAGTGCCTTCCAAAATCTGAGAGGGACGAGGTGTGGCACATGCTTTCAGAAATCTTAAAAGAGTAAGCCTCTGATGCAGAAACTACAGAATCCAAACCACCAAAAAAGAAAATCAACCTGATGCTGGTGGCATCTGACTCAGATGATGAAAATGAACGTGTTGATCCGCACAGCTTTGGATCGTTATTGAGCAAAACCCATCATCAGCATGGATGCATGTCCTTTGGAATGGTGGTTGAAACAGGAAGGGACATATGAGTCTTTAGCACATTTGGTGCATAAATATCTTGCGACACCAGCTACAACAGTGCCATGCGACCACCTGTTCTCACTTTCAGGTGACATTGTAAACAAGAAGTGGGCAGCATTATCTCCTGCAAATGTAAACAAACTTGTTTATCTGAGCAATTGGCTGAACAAGAAGTAGGACTGGGTGGACTTGTAGGCTCTAAAGTTTTACATTGTTTTATTTTTGAATGCAGGGGTTTTTGTACATAATTCTACATTTGTAAGTTCAACTTTCATGATAAAGAGATTGCACTACAGTACTTGTATTAGGTGAAGTGAAAAATACTATTTCTTTTGTTTTTTACAGTGCAAATATTTGTAATAAAAAATAAATATAAAGTGAGCACTGTACACTTTGTATTCTGTGTTGTAAGTGAAATCAGTATATTTGAAAATGTAGAAAATATCCAAAAATATTTAAATAAATGGTATTCTATTATTGCTTAACAGCCCTAATTTATAGAAATCAGACATTTTATAAATGACCAAATTTGGCCTTCATCCATATGTTGTTAGTCAACAAAACCAGAAATCTGGTGGCTAGGATAACTTTTAAAACTGGAAGGATATAAGAATTCTATTTAACATATCACAATTTTTAAATTTCCCATTGATGAATTTGGCTCAATGTATTGTAAATGCAGATTTCCTCCAGAGCCTCTCAAATCACTATCTCACCGTGCGAGAGGCATGTGGGATAAATCTTTTTTGTTATCTGACACATGCAGCATCAATCCATTTGAATAAAAAATTGGTTCAAAATAAAATAACTGGCCAAAATGACCTCATCATCTGAACTGAACAATTTTTAGGTTTAGGTAAAGAATGTATCATCTTGTTGACACGACCAATCCTTCCAACAGCCCCAGCTTCCTTAACTTCCCCATGACCTGCCAACAGACTGCAGCTCCTTACCCGCTACCACTTCCAACTTCCTCACTACTGGATCCCTGTCACTTCTGAATTCAAATCTTATGCCCAGTGTCTAAGCCTGGCCCTACTCTCTCCGTGACATGGAGCACAGCCAGAGTGGTGTGGTCCAGCCTATTTCTGTGTCTGAGAAGTGCTGCTGGTTTCCTGAGTGGGAAGAAATGGACTTGAAATTTACTCCATGGCTGTAACAACTTTCTCTCCACTAGGCCCTTCGGAGTAATTTCTGGGAGGGATTTAGTGCAAACAGTATCTCCCTGGGCACCCCACCAAAAGATCTCTCAACTGGCAGCTAGAGACAGAACCCATTGACCTGAAGAGTCCGCTGATAACATGATCAAGGGGGGACAAGGTGGGAGGGGAAAGACCCCCAGCCTCCCTCAGTGACAACAGGAATGTTTCTGGGGACTTTGGAGCCCCTACTACTGTCACCTCACCGCCCCTGCAGATCTGATTGAGGCTGTTACTGAATCCCCAAGCTCTTCCTCTGTGGAGGAGAGAGGGTGGAAGGTGCAAAGAGGAACCCTGGAGTGGGTAGCTCTTGTCCACTACATACTCCCCTAAGGGAAGCAGGTTCACTGCTGGTGTAGAATGAGTAGGATGAATGGTCTCAGAATCATGGATAGGTGGGAGATACACAAGAAGTGACACTGGAAACCCTACATAACTCTGGCGACATCTGAGGTATCTCTGCTGGCGCTAAGTAATTCCTGTCTGCTCAACCCTGCATTAGCTGCAGGACCATTTCTTATCCTCTGCTCCCATTGCCTCCCTCAGTGATAAAAGCACATGTGATCCCTCTGATGAAATTTATATGGGGAAAAATCCTGCCCCTGCAGCTATGGTGGGTCACATGACACTGAACCAGTGCAGTTCCACTCCAAACAGGAAGATGCAGGGCTGGGGAGAGGACGGGGGCTATGCAGGGCGTGCACATTGCATTGTTACACAAGTCCTTGGTCCTCCCCCCATGAAGAGAGGCGGGGGTGCACAAGCGGCTATTCAAGCCATTGGAAGCAATAACCTTTGTGGAGTGGCTATGGAGCTTCTTCATGGCCTGGAGAGGGCTAGAAGGAGGATTTCACCACCACCACCGGTCCCCTGTGCATCTGCCCAGTACTTGGCCTAGATACTCAGACTGGGTGCTGGGATTTGGATTTGCCCCAAGGTTAGCAGGGCAAATTAATCTTGCTCGTATGTGACACTGGAATTCAAGGAGCACGTGCTGCACTGACCGTCAGTTCCCAGACTCCTGTTTTACATGCTACTCAGACTGTGCAGAGGCGGGGTGGTGGCTATCTGGTGCCATGGGGGCATACCACCTCTGGGCATGCCATCTAACTCCTGCGTGCTGTCAGCCTGTTTGCTAGTTATTACAAAACTCATCTGTCCAACATAAACAACAATGTACATCTACCTATAATTTTGGCCATGTAGCAGGATACCTGTTTAGTAGGTTACATGGTGAGGCCACAAGTGATTAGAAAATAAGAAGGCTCCAGTGCAACTGAACAATCTCCACAAATTCCCAAAGGCAAAATGGGGGTGGAGGGATTGACCTGGGCAGTTACTCTAGACTCCTGGGAAATCTGGCTGCACTCAAATACGCTGGCAGCCAAGTCCCTCCAAAGTGCTGCATGACAGCATGCATTTTTGGATGTTCTTTGTCATGGTTATTGCGTAAGTAAAACATCTCTCCTCCCCCAAGGTCAGATCCTGCCTCCAAGGCCTTTGCACGCAGGGGACCCTCTGTGTGTGGATCCTCCCATCCCATGCAGAAATTTTGGAGGGTTGCAACTTTTGTGGTACCCCCTATACCCACACAATGTGAGGGGATGGGTGTGGGGCAGGGAACAGGTGGACCTGATTTGGGAGAGGGCAAGCACCCACCAGCCCCACACAAATTGTTCGGAAGAGGTAATATACCTCCAGGCTGTATTAACTTTTCTGCAGAGCTCCATATTGGGGAGCCCCTATTTAATGGGGCTCTGGAGACAGCCATGGCCAGGGAACCCCAGAGCCAATGTGGAGGAGATGCAGAACCCCAGGATCTGCTTGGCCCTAGGGAGACCCACTTGGTTGTGCCGGGGTTGAACTATGGCACATTCATTCCATGAGGAGCAAACAGAACGATTTGAGGAAATTTCCTCCCCCTTCCACAGGTATTTCTGAGGCAGGACATGCTCTGAGCCACAGAAATCAGCAAAAAGAAAAAATATATAGTGCTCTGAAGTCATCCCATGTGTAGCTCATCTGAAGTCAATAGGGATAAATCTGGCCCAGTATTTTTAAAGCACTCCTTGAACACATTAAATTGACCTATAATGGCAGCAACAACACAGAATGTTACTATTTTCTAACTCTAACGTGAACATTTCTGTGTTACATTATAGAAGCAGGTTCATTCAACTGAATGTATGTTTAATAACTCTACATATTTCTTAGATTTGTTTTGCTAATTCTAGTAGCTCGATCCAGCCCATAGGAGCATGATAAGCAGAATGACAGAAATTGTATTTCCTGCCTTTGAACTGTTAGTCACTGCTAGAGTATGTCATTCATTGCTAGAAAGGCTCACATTTTACCAAAAATAGATGAGGAAACCAACTGAGGCCAAATTCTACAGTCCTGGATTACGCACAAATCATTCCCTGCACTGGGAAAACCCAACGATCACCCCATGGGAAGGGGCTGGTGTTTACCTCACTCCTGCACAAAACAACTAGCAGGCCTGGCCTTAGTCAACAGGCCATTAGAGAGAAGGGGGAGCACCCTGCACTACATGAGACAGCACCACAAAACTGGAGGCACTTTGGGAGAAAGACAGAAGAGGAGACCTTCCCCTGGTCCCCAGGACATGGCTCCTTTATGAACGGAGCTATCCAGGGAACCCTGCCTATGGTTGCTGTGAAGATTTTCCCCAAGAAGAGCTCCTGTGTACAGCAGCATTATTTTATGTAGGATATGAAAGTCTGATGCTGTGCAAAGTGGTCATACACCCCTGTTCCACCCCTTCCTGCTTATGTCAGACCTCCTGGAGCTTGCATACTTACAAAAACATGGAGGAGGCTTCCTTAGATTTCAGGGGGAGGAGCAATGATACTCTAGTGCAGCTCCTGTTTTTGCATTGTGACCCTGGCATTTGCTTAATTTCTGGCCTCTATAAATACAGCAGGTTTTATTATAAATACAGATTACTGCCCTACTCTACCCTTAATCAGCCAGAATTCTTACTGAAGTTGATGGGAATGCTGCCTGAATAAGGAGTGCTAGATCTGGGGCTTGAGTCTCTTCTCACTTACACAGTACAAGTCTGAACTTCATGGAATTACAACAGTGAAACAGGTGTGAGACAGAATATGGCCCTTGGCCTTTAATAAGTTATAAAACAATCTTCATAGTAATTGTTTCTGAAACCAAATATCTAAATATTCTGTTACTGCGGACTGATAAATTAAAACCAACTCTGAAATGAAGAGTAGCAATGTTCTGAATAGAAATAAGATTTGTTTTGACATTCCAGGGTTATATGATTATTTGAATTTTCTTTGTGCAATGTACTGATTTTTTTTTTTTTACAAATCCTGTATTGAGGTTTATATTACTATTTTCTTATGGCAGGCAAGACAATATTATTAGATTACAGTATGCTAGAAATTTGAAAAATTAAGGCCCCATTCCTGCAATGTATTATGTGTGGGTTCCCCTCCATCCAGGCATAGGGTCCACCCGCATGCAATGCATTGCAGAATCGGTATCTTACTGAACACACCTATAATTACTCTGCTCAGCAACAGAATTCATGAAAGTGGTTTTGTAAGTACATGTTTTTACTACATATACCATCCCACTAATATCAGTTGATGTACAGTTTTCATTTTGTTCACTCTAATCCCTTAAAAAATATGCAGAAAATTTACAAAGATATGATTCATTAATTTATGTTAGAAGGCTTAAAAAGAGGTTTTCACTACTAAACACTACCAACTATTATATTTTACTCTAAAGTAAAATTAGGGTGCCAAATCCTACCAACAACCAATCAGACACAATAGAATCTTTTAGTTATAAAGCATAAACTAATTCAACATCAACAATGCAGTTTTCCTTAGGCTTCCAATGAAACTGTACACAATCATAAAAAATATTAACCACTTAGATCTATGCACTATTTTTGTATGAAGTGAAATAGTCACAGTAGGCTAAAAAAAAAAATCACATAAAAATACACAATTTTCATTGGATTTTTGTCAATGTCAAAAAGCTATACATCTATCAGTATACATCCAGGGGCTCAATCCTGCATATAGACATCTGGGTAACTTTACTCACATAAGTAATTCCATTTAATTCAGTAGGACTATGTACATCAGTAACATTACTCACATGCATAAATGTTTGTAGATTCAGGCCCTAATGTGTTTTGGGAAAGTTAAAATAAATGAAAATATACCTAATGCATTCTCCCATTAAAAATCATCAGACAAAAATATAAACTGGGTGCTTAATAAACATAGCAAAAAAAAAAAATCTATAGGTAACTATAGATTAGCCTGTAGAAAAGCATCTATAATGTGTCTATAATTATTAAAGCATGTCAATATAATTACAAATAAATAGAAAGGTTATCAATATATATATAAATATATATAAAGTCAAACCAGTCTCATATTTAGTAAAATTTAATAAAGATAAAGGGATTTGTTCATGATTTTCCACATATGTATTTTTTCTTTTCTTGTTTTGGAATTTCAATACTATATTTTAATAATTGCAGGTGTGCTATAGCCTATTTTCTGCAATAGATAACAAAATATCTCATCAATATTTAAATAAAATAAATATTTAATAATAAGGTTACAAAAAAATCTACAATATATGAGAATTTTTTGCTTGTTCAATTATTTTTTTCAGTTTGATTTAAAGAACTATTCAACAGACTTGGATTAATAAATAATAAATAAAATAATAATAATACCACCTAGCTCTTATACAGTGCTTTTCATCAGTAGGTCTCAAAGCACATTACAAAGAGATCAGTATCATTATAATTTATTCCTTAAACCTAATATTCATGCTGCATTATGCAATGGTCCAATCCTGCTCCCATTGAAAACAATGGTGAAACTCCCATTGATTTTAACTGGAGCAGAACCGGATGCCTATTTGTTTCAACAACCAGGTATAACTTCTCATAACCCATCTATCTGAATATGAAAAAAGCAGTTAGGTTTTCCAAACTGGAAATTAAGACCCCAATCCCACAACTGACTGAACAGGAGCACATCCCAGAGTCTGCCCTGAGTCCTGTTGAAATCAATGGGGCTCTGCGCACAGTCTGTTGCGGGATCAGTGCCCTATTTACCTATGCATACTTGCTTTAGCACACCTGTGGGGAGTACTGCAGATAGTCTTGTGTCTTAAACTCTGTATCACAACCGATAGAGGCTAAAATTAATTTCCAGTGTAACTCCATTTAAGTCACTGTTGACACACCAGGGATAGGGCACTGGGTCAGTTATTACTTTATCTAAATTGTACAGTTTTCTTTCATTTCAATGTACTGATTGTTAAATTTTAAAAAACACAATTTAGTAATTATTTCTATGCAAAAAATCATAAAACATACTCTGGAATAATCAGGCTCTCGGGGTGTGGAGTCAGTTAAAGCGCGGACCAGGGCATTCATCATACTGATTGGAGGAGAAGGTGGGGAGGGCTGGGAAGGTTCCTGCTGTAAAGGGCTCTTTGGTTTGGAAGGCAGCCGACCTCTTCTCCCTTTCAGGCTATCAGTACGGACAACTGATTAAAGAAGAACAAAAATCAGTCCACAAAGACATCACCAAAAAGCTACAACCACAAATGAGCACCAGGTTAGTTCTTAATTATGATTAGTCCAGCAAAAACCATAATATTTTTCCATTTAGATGGATAGATAGATAGATGGATAGATAGATAGATCACTGCCATCCTTAATTGCAGAGATATAAGTGAATATTTTAAAACAGTGTGAAGCTCAGACTTGTAGCCAGCAATGTTACATTTGAACAGCACCCTTTTTATGTAACTCCAGTTCTGTCCCTGTATGTTTTTTACACGCACACACACACACATACACAAATACAAACTAATATTAAGACTAATAATGTACATTTAAGCCTTCTTACTGAAGAATTCTTAGCTTCCTTAAAACACTTCAGATGCTATGGGCCTAATCCTGAAAATGCTTACTCATGTGAGTACTCCCATCAGTGGGACTACTCACATACTTAAGCATTTGCAGAATTGGGGCCTATGGATTCAATCCTGGCTCCATTACAATCAATGGCAAACCTTATATTTAATTCCCTGGGAACAAACCAGCGCCCTATGTAAAGGTACACAGGACACAAAATGCAGCCCCTCTATGAGGTGGCAGCCAATTGCAGTACAGCACACTGTACAGCAGGAAAGGGAGGAGAAACTTTGGCCAGGGTCACTGGGAAAAAATCTTTCTCTGATGACCTTGCTGTTCTTGAACCTGTGGTTCCAAAGAATCTAGATATTATAAACCTAATGCCTGGGGAAAAAAACAAACAAAAAAACTTACATATATTGCATTAACCCACACTTTGGGGGTAAGTAAACTAGAAAGCCTAACATTATAAAATTCCTCATAAAAATTAAATCTATATATTTTAACTTAAGTAAATTTAATATTCAGATATTTGTATTTATGATGGCTCATGTTCCTTACCTTCTTTAACCATGCCGACACTGAGACACTTCTGAAAGCGGCAGTACTGGCATCTGTTACGACGTCTCTTATCCACTGGACAGTTTTTATTTGCCAAACAAACATATTTTGCATTTTTCTGAACTGTTCTCTGAGAAAATGCAACACAGAAATAGTCAACTGATAGTTTCTTGAATGAGCTAGGACCTGACAAGATGTATTTTAATTACAATGTGAAAAGCGACAGTGCAATTTGTATAATTAGATAAAATTAATTTCCTAACACACTAGCCTGCAGGAAAAACAGTTTTATTGGTGTTAGCTGCTGACAATGAAAATTGTCTAGGATTGTTCTGAAGCAAGTCTCAGGAGACAGCCAACTTTGAATGATAAAATCATATCTGAAATTACCAGGTCATCGCATCTACCTTTGGGGATTAGATTATCTCCGCTTTTAATATCCCTTTGGGAACAATTTTCTACTTGGTTCATTCCCCTGATTATTACTGACCTTATTAAAATAGAATCAAAATGATCTGGTATGTACTTCTCTTGCTATCGCTGTTGTTAGTCAAATATCACAATAACTGGTTTTGCTCGCCATTAAAATCAGTACAGATGAAATCAAAACTACAAAAACCAAACCAAACCAAAAAACCCCCAAACCTTTCACAATTTAGCTAACTCTCATGGACAAATAACTTATTTTGGAGAAAATGAATGGAGTTATATTGTACTGACACTTGCTTAGCTATAAAACAAATGTTTGGCGAGGATGCTGGCCAATTTATTTTTAAAATCCTACTTATATTCTAACAAATAATTTTGAAAACTATCAAATAATTCAGATTTTATAAAAATAAGTTAAGACTAGAAAAAGAATAAAGCAGATATTGGTACAAACAGTGTAATGTGTTTTAATATTTAAAATCAATGCTATTTCAATAAATAACTGAATTTCACCACAGATGAGCATTTAATAGCAAAGTCTTAAAAGCAACAACAATAAAACTCATAATTACTGTGACATTATAAACTGAATCTTTCCTCAATATGAAATTATGTAGAAAAATGTTTATTTCTTTCACATTTGTGTTCCTTAAAAAACAAGATCAAAAGTAATAAAAATAAGAAACACATGAAATCATTCACCACTTAAACTACAGATTGCATCTTAGAATTGGAAAATCATTTTGTAAATTTAGGGCCCAATCCTGCTCCCATATAAATTCACAGCAGTTTTGCTATTGACTTCCACAGGAACAGGAACTTAATAGCTACTTTTCCCAGATGATTTTTGGTACCTATTCTAATTATGTTTAAACAACTAAGAGTTTTAATAGATATGTGTATTTTTACCATATTATAAAAGTATTATCATTGAGTAATGTTACTACTAGTGAGTGCAATAAAAAAAATGCTTTAAACATTGGCTCCTATCAAAGCCAATGCAAAAACTCCCATTAACTTCAACAGGAGCAGGTCTCTGATCTTTACAGAAAGAAACTGACTAAATCAAATCTTCAACCTTGACACTAATAAATCAAACCCTAAAATCTACCCCAAGCTATAAATTTAAACATGCCATTTGTAAGAGTAAACTGAAACCTTACATACGATCTGTAAAAAACAAAAACAAATACTAAAACCTAGCATTAAAAAACAAAAAAAATTACATAAACCCAGAAAGCATAAGCAGAAAGTTTCTTCGTAGTAAATGCATTATGTATTACCTGTCCCCAGAACCTTCTCAGTTAGTCTCAGAGCTAATATTGAGGCACTGTATAGTGCTTAGTCATTGCACTACTTAATACCTTTCACAGATCAGAATTCACTGGTTTCTAAACTAAATAGTTGTAGTCAAGCAGCAACTTCCTAGCATGACAAATGTTCTGTTTTATAACATACATTGACTCAATTGCCTCCTTGGCATGTCCTTAAATCTACATTTCTTTGTATTACCCTATGGAGGGAGATTACACTTTTCACTGTTACTGCTAGCTGAATTATCGGGTGACAATCAGGATGTCTGTATTTCATGCCTTGTTTTAAAAATATTTAATTAGTCTGAATGACTCAGTAAAGTCCAGTTTGTTGACAGCAAAATAAATGCAGCTAGATTTATTTCAAGAGAAGCTCCTGAAACAGTTGCCCTGCACTCCACGGAAAGACATCATGGGCCAGACACTAGGCTGGTGTACATCAGGTTAGCTCCATTGATTCAGCTGACTGAGGCCTTGTCTACACAGTGTGTTAGTCCACACCAGAGCAGTGTAAATTCTAGTGCACCCTAACATGCTGCACATTGACTGGCACATGTGGACTCTGCTGGCACCCACTAACTTTCCCATAGCATGCATTCTTAGTACTTTTTGAAATGGCTGGGATTACATTAATGCACACTAGGGAACTTTTAGTGCATGGCAGCAAGGTCCCACAGGTCAGTTAGTGCATGACACACTATTGTGCACTAGAATTTACACCCCTTTGGTGCAGACTAACATACCGTGTAGCCACGCCCTGAGATTCTGTCTGAGAACTAGCCCAATCCCTACATTACATCCTCTGGAGGATATGATTTGGCTTTGTGTGAATAGTCAGCTGGTGTCTACCTTCCCTCACTAGACTACCCAGATGGTGTGTTTTTACTCTAATATACACTTTGCTCACAGAATCATCCTAACTTTTCTGGGTGAACTGATCAGCATAACAACACCCGAAGCAGTCAATGGTTAGCGTGAATGGTGTGGGGATGACTTGGGATGGGGGTTGGCGTGTGTATGTAAGTATATGTGGTTCTCACCTTAAAGAAGCCCTTGCACCCCTCGCACGTCCGTACCCCATAGTGTTGGCAGGCAGCATTGTCCCCACACACAGCGCAAGTGCCTTCTCCAGATGAGGAGCTCCTGCTGGGCGGGGAAGGCAGGCCACTGCTGCTGCCACTGCTCTCGCCCAACAGGCTGGAAGTGGCTGCATTGAGGCCCAGTGGCGAGAAGGCTAAGGCGGCTGCTCTTTTGGCCAGGGGAAGCCCATAAGGATGATTCTCCATAGTGGCTTGACCGGCAGTGGGTCTGTCAGATCCCAGAGGCAGGCTTAGGGCAGCAGGGTCATAGCACATGTGGGCACCAGCTGCAGGCGTGTGGGGTGGCGAGTGCTTGAAGTGGAAGAGGGGGAAGCGGGTGGGCACAGTCTTCATAGGGGCAGAGTCCATCAAGTGGCTGGGGGCCATGCAGGTCTGTGCAGGCTGCAGCGGATGTGGGGGTTCGTCCCACATGGAGGCCTGGTGAGAAGGGAATCCAGGGGTGGTGGGCGTGGAAGGCGGGGACTGCTTGAAGTACATGGAGGTGCTGGGCATCCCTTCATCTGTGGAGGCGGGCAGTGAGGAGTGGTAACTATGTAGCCGGCTGTCTTCCATTTTTATGAGGGGCCTCTGGCTGGAGGAAGCAGATTGCATTTGGTACAGGCAGGAGGGCTTGAGCTCATAGCTGCCAGAGTAACCCTCCATGAAGGTGCTGAAGCTGGGCAGGGAGGTGGTGGCGGTGGCAGTGATCTCGGTGCTGCTCAGGTCCATGGTCAGTTTGGTGTAGTCAGGATTCATGATCTCCGAGCTGTACTCTGAGCCATATGCGTAGGTCTGAGCTGCATAACTCGAACCAGGAGGTGAAGGGCTATACTGGGCTTGCACACAGGGCATATCTGCAAGGGCAAAAGGGGCCATTAGCAACAACAACAAACAACAACCACCTCGCTGCGGCTGCAGCTTCGGGTCATCACTTACAACTCTCTTCGCCTTTTATGGTGATTTCCTGCAATTCACGGAACGAAATTAGACACCTACTGCCAGAATGTGGGAGTTATAAATTTCCTCTGAGTACTCAGTATTTGAGAAGAAATATATATTAGATGCATATGGGGCCACATTCTGCTCTCAGTTACATTAGTTGAAATCACTGGAGTTGACCCAAATTTACACTGGTGTAAGTGAGAGCAGAAGCTGGCCCTAACTGCCCTAGATCTGCTGCCTAATAGACAGAGATGTCAATGAGAATTAAATAAGAAGCACGAAAACAGTATATGAATAGATGCAATTATGCCATAAAATTTTCATAACGAAAAAAACCACACTATCACAGTCTATTCTATTATATGAGACAGAGGGGGGGGGGTACATATAGGTACGTGTATATATATATACATATAGGTACGTGTATATATATATACATATAGGTACGTGTATATATATATA